AGGGAGAAACACGCAGGTGGATTCAATGGTACTCATCTTAAGACTGGTGGTAGGTTCGGGGCTTCATTTTTTATGCTTCATAACCTGCATACAACAACGTGTAAGTTTTGTATGCATTAATATTATATAAAAAAGGAAGACCAGACCCGAGGGGCAAAAGGTTAGGGAGAGCGTTAAAAGAAGCTCCAAATAGGAAACCTCAGAAGAACTGATGATTTTTAAACAGGTGATACAGTTTGGGGTGATCCGCCAAACTAGCTCTAAGCCACATAGCTCTTAAGAGGGATGGCACTATATCAGATACACCACATGTCTTGGTAAAACTTACAAAGTTTCACATTGAAGTGTTAGCTCTCTGGAAGAAAAGTGGAAAGGCTCAGATGAGATTACCAAGGGGATGCAGACTTGTTCCATCTTGAGTAAACTTGAAGGAAGATGTTGACAAAGAAACTAAAGAAATACCCAGAAATAATCTGAATGATGACCTTCTTGGTATGTGCACCCAAATCTATTAAGGTGGTCATCAGCAGGGTCACTTGGACTCACCTGTGTCGTAACTTTGTAGGCCACATAGGCATTCATACCATCCCCTGTGGGAGAACAGAAAGCAGGAGAGGATTATTCTGTGAACTAAAGCAGGACCAATCTTGCTAACATTTAACTAGGAATCATAAGGCAGCCACAGGAGCCGTGTACAAGAACTCTTGTTTCAACTCCAAGCTTTAGATCCTATACTATAATCCAGTTCCTACTGTGCCTCGAGGCCTCTATGCACATATCCCATGGATGCTTGCTGGGTCCCCGTTTGAGTCAGACAAGAGAGTCAGTTCCCTGTTTCAAAGCCAGGCTCTATTTATACCTTCCACAAAGCAGCACTGGACACTGACAATCCGTTGGTTGTTACCATGCCAATATTTGGGCTAGTTACACACATCTGTCTAAATCCAAACAATTCTCTTGCTGTATAAAGCAGGAGGAGGAGAAGGAAGCAAATGATGTAAAAGGAAACAAGTAGTTCTACCCTAAGCTAGCTCTGGGCTCCCTTTGCTCTTTCAGAAATAATGTCCCAGCCCCTCCACCCGAACTGGGGGACACTGACCCCTCTCATCTAGCATGTTCTCCCAGAGCAAAGGGCCTGGCAGGAAGACACTTGGGCTGCCTGATGTCACACAAATCTCTCTTTCCTGAAGGAATTATTTTTCTGAAAAAGGCTTTGACTGTTACATAATTTGGGATTCAAGCAATTGTTTTTATCTGTGGTACTGTCCTAACTTCTACCACTTAGGAACATAAAGGCACCATTGACTCCGTGAGCAGTGAAAAGACACACATTGGACTTGAGACAGACACAGGTCCAGTGCTGGGCTCTGGAGCGTTGGGTTGGTTTCATTCCCTTCCTCTCCGCCCTGACTCTTCCCCACACCAACCAGGAAAATGCAGGTCAACAATGACTAACTGCCAAAGCCTCTGAAATGGTCCTGGGATGAGGGCAAGTTCTAGCCCTGCAGGGTCACATATTACAAATTGGTCTGACTGAGATGGCTGGGAATAACTGCTTTTATAAATTACACAGAGAAGTTGGAGACTGTACAGGAAGAGAGGGTTTATGTTCTCTACCCAGTCAAGCCCGGCTAAAAGAGTAACATACATATAAAACAAAATATAAGTTTTAGAAATTACTTTATATTGATTACTACTGTTAGTTCTCTTCTAAACCATTTAAACTATGTTGCCTAATACTACTAAGGATGTTTATCATCAATAAAAGGGAAAAAAAATTAAATTTACTTTATAGAAAATGTATTCAGACTTTTATTCACAGTTTGATAGTTATGGTCAAATGTCCAAAAGGTCATTCCCATAATCTAGTGCCTGCAATTAGGGAAGACTAAGTGCAAATGTACATGAGACACAATAGCAAAGTGGGGCCTTCAGACACTGCCTGCTTACCAGCTGTTTTTATTAAGGCAGTGTGTGAGCAGACAGACATACTTGCCTGTCCAGACCTCGTAAGATATGGAAACGTTCTAGAAATGCAGCAGTTTTAAATTTACATTAATTTCCTAAGTAATTTCAGGAAGTTGAAAATAATACATGCAAATTGGCACGGCTCTAAAAAGCAACATCCTGAAGGAAGTGAGATTCTAATTTATTTAAATGTTTGTGGGAATGAGAAGTGCATGTTGAATAAACAGCCCATACAAACAGAGGTGTTGTTATAAAGATCGATGTGAATCTTGAAATATGAATATGAAAATGCTTTAAGTAGCTGGTGTCTTGACATCGATGTGACTAAGAATCTAGATGATGATGCAAGGGGATGAAGGTTTATCACCAAAAGTGATTTCTGTTTAAATAAATCTGATCCATGGGACATTTAAATTATTGTTATGGGTTGAACTGTGTCCCCCTAAATAAATCATGTTGATGTCCTAACCCCTGGTACCTTATTTGAAAATAGGGTCTTTATAGAAGTAACTAAGGGAGAAAGAGGTCAGTATGGTGGGCCTTAATTCAGTATGACTGGTGCCCACCTAAAAAAGGGAAATTTTGACACAGAGACAGACACACAGAAAGCGAAGATGATGTGAAGACACCCTGGGAGGAAGTCATATGACAGTGAAGGCAGAGTTGGAGTGATGTAGCTACTGGCCAAGGAATGCCTAAGGCTCCAGAAGCTAGGGGAGAGGCACTGAACAGTCCTTTCCAGAACTGAGAGAATACATTTCTGTTGTTTTAAGCCATCCTGTTTGTGATACTTCATTACAGAAGTCCTAGGAAACTAACATATTCCCTCCCTCTCCTGGAACAAACGTCTTGACTTATAAAATGTTAAAACAGTATTTACTTATGATTTATTGTGTTCTACCAAGGATGTAAAGTAGTTAATAACTAGCCTAAAATCAATGTACTTATAGAATATTCATAAATATTAGAAAGGTAAGTTAGTTAGTTAGTGAAGTCACTCAGAGAGGTAAGAGAGAATTCCAAACATGTAATTCAAAGTTTTGGTCCAGGTTCTACCACAGGCCATATGTTGTGACCTGACAGGAAAGCTACATTTCACTTATTGGTTCTCAGTTTCCTCTATTGTTGGACAAGGGAACTGTATAAGATGCTCAGAAACATCCTACCAGTGCACCAGTCTAGGAAAAGTAAAACTCCACAGTTAACAACAAACCATTTTGGCATAAAGTCTAATCAGATTTTTATAAACTCTTGTTCCTAGTTCAGAATAGACAAAGGGTTGGAAATCACATTTTTCCTCTTAACCATACAAATATCACCACTACTTAATAGGAGGAAAAAGCTCTGTGCAGCCTCTTCTCATAGAGACCACACCTAGAACAAGGATAGTTGAGGCCTGTTGCTCTCTGCTCACTAAAAGGTCTCAAAAACTTGCAACACAGGAAGGCTATCCTAAAATCCATGTTCTGGCCAAAGTTATGTACTGTGCTTGTTGAAAATCTAATTTCTATTTGATCAAAATTCAACCTGCATTTTTTAATCTTTACCTATGAGAGAGAGTTGCAGACTTCCTCACTTTATTAGAATATCAAGAGTACATAATAAATGATAAGTAACATGAAATCCAAATGTCTTAAGGGAAAAATAAATCCAGCATCTCCAAATTTTAAAATATGTTTTTAGGGTGCTTACATGGAGTTTATCTCAAGAGGGAATAAAATGGTCTGCACAACTCAGGGAGAAGGCAATTTTGGGTTTTTAAAAAGGGATTCGAATAGTATTTAATTCTCTGACTTTTCTTCTTAAAGCCAAATAAAGCTTAAATAAATAGCTTAAATGCTGTTTCTGGCCTTGGAAGCATAGCAAAGAGCATCATTTCATAGGAAAGATGATGATGAAGTACTTCACACTAGCTGGTTCAGCTCTGGAGGTAACCATTTAGAAATCAGCTAACTGTGCTTTTCACAGCCATATCTGAACATCATAGGAGTCTCAAGTACACTCACCTATCTTCTCAGGATCAGTTATACCAACTGTCAAATCAAATTGGTCTTCCTGTTCTTCTTCCTCTAGCTTTTAAAGAGAAAACAAACAATGAGAGTAAGATACCCCCAAAAAAGGCTATTCATTTTACTTTGTATTAATATTACATCAAGATAATAATATCAGGATATATCCTTCTACACATCAGTCTTCAGCTCTGTCCATTCCCAACAATCTCAATGAAGCAACTTCCACAATTCTAAGTTGGTGCCTGCTCAAAGGTCTTCATTACATCTATTCTCTTAAAACATTATTTTGATTATAATGAATATTTACTAGGTTTTGGAAGACTTGCCTCTTTCAGGCTAAAGAGGGAATGGGGAGAGACTAGACTCCTGAATATAGGAGCTTTGGACACTATCATTGAAAGCCTGTGGGCTATTCTCTGGATAACAGACACTCTGCCTAGGAAAGAATCTTTTACTGGATTCTGGCTGTTCATTAACCATAAAGGTCTTCTTCAAGAGTTATAAATATTAACTCAAGCAACTGAACTTCAGACTGGCAGCACAGTCCTAAACATCCAAAAGAAGACCAACAGCACAAATTCTCACCTCCTCATAGCTTGGCTGGGGCTTAGAAGAATTTGTGGCCTCCTGTGGAGGAAGAGAAATGAGTGTTTTGGCTGGCACCTTCTTCTGATTATTTTGTGTGCTGTCCAGGGATAGCTCCACTGTGGCATCTAAAAATAGTTGATATTTTATAATGAAGGAAGAGTCAGAAAAACTGTAAGCTAGAATAAATGGACCTAAGACAAACACAGTAAACACTGGGGAAGAGCACTATTTGCCACATCTAAGGATGACACTGTTTTACCACAGTTTATGAATTGCTCACTATTACAGTTTTAGATCATCCTGTGAAGATTAAGTTATGTTCAATATACACTGTCCAAGGGGGAATAAAAAGACTTTGTAATATCTAAAAATTTCTTTTGATCAAAACTGTTAAAACACAAAACAACAAAAAAAAAACCCACACGCTTAAGAAGTGCCTTTGTCTATCTGGGAAAACAGAACAACTCATTCCCTAAGTGTTCTAGATGGGATTTTTAAAAGAGCACTATGTACCATTTTTAGGCATTAAAATTACTTACGCCAATGATAAGAATGCACTCTCAACTTGAAGCAATGGAGCTAGAAGTTCAAAACCTAAACAGCTCAGAATTTTTTTCTTTTTAATAAAGAAAACTATAAATATCCATTTGGATTTGGCCTGGTCAGTAGGTATCCAATTCTAGCCTTAGGGAATTCAAAGACAGCAGTTTCTTTTTCTTTTCTAGACTTTCATTTGGAGCTAAACATGAAACCAGAGGGGTCTATAAGGCATAACCAAGTCCTAGATCTATGTCATAATCATTAAAAGTTAATCATGTCTATAAACAAGGCTGCCAAACTGTTGGAATCATATTAGGACTCTTTCACTCATCAGGAAAAAGGCAAACATACATACAAAAATTCATGCATAATGAACATGTTAAGATGACAGGATCTTTCAAGCAAGAAACCAGCTAAAGTATGTTTAACATAGTCACATTATGCAGGCACCACACAAATAATTAAGTTATGCAAGCCAATAAATGTGACTGAAAATGAACAGGAAATTTAAACATTTAAAACCTTAAGCTTATTAGAGTATGCCACTGAAAGATTTTTGAAGAGTTGTGCATTTAAAAAAATGTTTTTATTTACTCATTTTTGACTGCACTGGGTCTTTGTTCTCCACGTGGGCTTTCCCTAGTTGCAGAGAGTGAGGGGCTACTCTCGAGTTGCGTGCCTGGGCTTCCCATTGCAGTGGCTTTACTTGCTGTAGCGCAAGGCTCAGGGCGCGCAGCTCCAGAGCACAGGCTCAGCAGGTGCAGCGCATGGACTCAGCTGCCCTGAGGCATGTGGGTCTTCCCACCAAACAGGTGTCCCCTGCACTGCAAGGCGGACTCTTAACCACTGGGCCGCCAGGGAAGCCTGAGGTGTGAATTTTTAATTGAAAATCATGTGACAACACGTATCAACAATGGTTTTTTTCCTCTTTTTTTTTGGCTGTGAAACTTATGAGATCCTAGTTCTCTGTTCAAGAATAGAACCTTGGTCCTTGTAGTAAAAGCACAGAATCCTAACTACTGGAGTGCCCTTTTCTCTGGACTCTAGGTAAGAATAATAGAAAAGCCATTGGATTCTATCATAGAGATTCTGATCACCATTAATCAAGTAGAAAATAACAGAGTATTTTATTTAAATTTCCACATCTGAGAAACTACTTGAATCCTAAAGTAAATGTATCACTGCAAGCATTCATTTCCATAGATATCTTATGTTCCTTTCTTAGTAGTGAAGGCAGGCACTGGCCGCTTATGAAAACAGCTGGGAATGAAGTAAATCAGAACCCTCAAAATAAAAAAGAACCCTCATTAGAAATAAATATGTCTCTAATAAATATCTTCTACATGGTTGTGTATATAAAACCCAACCATGGGAGTAATTCAGTCAACACTAAGATTTCAGGTCTCCTTAAAGGGCAAATCACATAAATGTTAAGTTCCCAAAGATAAAAAAACGTTCTGTGCAATCTGCCATATAACTAGATTACTATTTCCATTTCTTCTCCAGAAATTTTATCTAAAATATAAACATTAGCAGAATAAATAGCAGGCACTTAAGTTTCAGAGAGGAAAGCAATGGAAAATCTTTGAAATCTTTATATTTTTTCTTCTAAACTCTTCTCATGTCTTAATTTTCCAATGACTTCACATGTGAGAGTCCTCCCAAGATCTCGCCCTCCGCCCTCTCATCTCTTCTTTTCCTTTGTGATTCTCTCCTTTGAGGGTCTCATTGACACGGCAGCTTTAATCACAACCTCTAGGAGACTGATTTCCCCATCTGCAGTCCTTACTCTTTTCCCAGGGAGACTACTAGAGTTCAAATCACCTCCCAAGCAGTTCCCTTTAAAAATTTAAAACCCAAACTCACTCTCCCCACTCTCCAACTCAAAGATACTTTCTTCTGCAGAATGTAGTTCTCAAAATGGTACCATCTTCTTCCCAATCCTTGGGCTTGAAATTTTTGACTTTGTCTTTAATCTTCATTTTTGTACACCCATTACATCTAATCACCAATACCAGATTTTGTTGATTTCACTTCTTGAAAAGTTTTCATCTTTCCTTTCCTATTTCTATTATCTTTATCATTTCATCCTTGACATCTCTGGGCTTCCCTTGTAGCTCAGCTGGTAAAGAATCCACCTGCAATGCAGGAGACCTGGATTTGATCCCTGGGTTGGGGAGAGCCCTTGGAAAAGGGAAAGGCTACCTACTCCAGTATTTTGGCCTGGAGAATTCCATGGACTATATAGTCCATGGGGTCACAAAGAGTCAGACATGACTGAACCACTGTCACTTTCTGACATCATCAGTCTTTGTCCATTGCAATCGGTTTTATATAATAATTCTACCAGGTCAGTCTTTCATCACTTGCCCATTTCACTTTCCTTACTCAAAACTCAATTAAACCAATGGCTCTAAACTGACACTAGGATGAAAATTGAAATTCTTTCTTTTTTTTTTTGAAAATTCAAATTCTAATTATTATTGTTGCCTAAAATCCTCCTAAACAACATTTCTAGACTTATCTTCCATGGTATCTCTAAGAAGTCCCTGCTTTTGGCCTGCTGAGTTTACTGTCCCTTAAACACACCGCATTATCGATTCTCCCTGCCCAAACATCTGCACGCTCTCTTTTTTTCTGACATAAACCCTGCTTCTTTCAAAAAGTCTTACAAGATCATTGTAGACCAAAGCTTATCACTGAGGGCATTACCGACATTTTGGGCTGGATAATTCTTTTGCTGAATGCTGTCTGTGTACTGTAGAGTGTTTAGAAGCATCCACAGCGTCTACCCAGCAGAAACCAGCAGCACGCCCAGGTGTGACAAACAAAAAAGTCTCCAACCATTGCCAAATGTCTCTGAATGTCTTTGAGTGGGGTGGGTTGGTGGGGAATGACCATACCTTGCTGAGAACAGGGCAGTCCCTCTCATCAAAAAGTTATTGAGCCCAAAATGCTAAGAGTACCAAGACTGAGAAACTCAATCCTAGTGTTTTTCAAACTGCAGGTTGTCATTCACTGGGGTATTGTGATAGCACTTTAGTGGATTGCAAACAGCATTTTAAAAAAAGAGAAACAACAGAAAATTTCAGATTGTATGGAAAATAGTAAGGTCAAGTCATTCAAGAAAACTTTTGATTTCATCTTATATAAGTATATAAATATTTTGGATTATGACAGAAAGTATATTTCTTATTATGAATCTTTGTCATAAAAGTCTAAAACCACTGCATTAGTCTCCTCTCAGACCCCTCTAAGTTCACATGACTTAAGTAACAGTATATTTATGTTTTACTCACTAAACCTGTAAGTATCCAGATGACAGGTACTGCCTTTGAAATCCTCCACAACAGTATCTTACAAAGAGCTGTCTCTCTCATATATACACAACTTCTTACTTTAATTCAGCAAGTTAGAAGATTGCCAGCTTAAGTTTTGAGTCCATACTTGCCTGCAAAGAGATCCTGTGGCTCTTGATCTTGTTCCTCATGAATCCCATTTTCTTTGGAGCCACTGTTGATGGGAAGAAGGGAAGCAATTCCCTTTGGAGACTGGGGCTTGCTCTGAAAACAAAGAAATACTCTGAATAAAACAGTACCATTAAAAACAAACCTAGAGGACTTTCCTGGTGGTCCACTGGTTGAGACTTCATGCTTCTACTGCAAGGGACATGGGTTCAACCCCTGACTGGGGAACTAAAATCCTGCAAGTTGTTCACCATGGGCAAAAAAAAACGCCCCCAAACCCCAAAACAAACAAACCTAGAAAGTGACTTTTGATGTATCCCTCAGTTGCTCCGCCAGGTGTTTAGGGGAAAACAGGATCACTAGCCAGCTAGTTCAATAAGCAACAGATGGTTACTAGTGATGGAACTGGCCTGAGTGATCACAGCTAAAATAAACTCATACATTTTAGCGTTAATTTCTAACACTATAACCCTGCTGAACCACCCTACCCCAAGGCACATGATGCCAATGTGGGTATGTGTATACACAGATAATTTTCAAAAGAACCTCAGCTCGGGCCTGGTGCACTGGGAAGTCCCAGAGGGATCAGGTGGAGAGGGAGGTGGGAGGGGGGATCGGGATGGGGAATACATGTAAATCCATGGCTGATTCATGTCAATGTATGACAAAAACCACTACAATATTGTAAAGTAATTAGCCTCCAACTAATAAAAATAAATGGAAAAAAAATTAAAAAAAAAAAAAAAGAACCTCAGTTGATGACCTTTACTTTTTCAAATGCTGATGGGGCACATTCTAGTGTCCAGGATATCACACTAAGGTCCAGAATTCAAGCTCTGATCCTGACTTACTTTGTGGCCTTAGCTGAACCATTCACTGACGCCCAATTGTGTGGACATTACCAACCCTCCTCACAGGCAAAAGAAGGTGTAACACTTTACGTCTAATGTTATTTGTAAATATAACTCATCTTTTCATCCTTAACTTATAGAGAAACAATTTTCAACCAGACTTGTGTTAGACTAGCAGAAGAAAAACCAGCCATGCTTAGCCAATAGACACATGGTGAAAATACAGTCAGTCCACGGCATTTATCAAAAGCTCAGTGATCAGCTATAAACAAGGGTGGGGTGAGGCCCCAGACCGGTACCAAAGTGAACAAAGCTGGATTGTGTAGAAAATGAACAAAAAGCTGGGAATCTGGCTTCAAAAGCCATGGTGTCATACTAGAAAGTTTTGAAGTCAGACCCCAAGGCCAAATCAGTTAAAAGACCTGACTTAAGGGATCTTTTATGAAACACTTCCTTAACAAATCTGAGGGTGTTTTTTCCTTAGAAACAGGCCCTTTCTAACCAGATAAAGTGAAACGACAGATTTATTGGGTACTGAATGTGCCATGCCAACAGCTCTATCCCAGTATTAGTGCCACCCTCAGGAAAAGAAACTGGAACCAATATGTAGATTGATACTACCAAACAATGTTTTTACTGAAATTGTTTATGGTAATAAAATTTAATGAGCTTTTAGTTGTACATGCTTAAATGTTACCAATTCTGTTAGAGACACTGATTCTGTCTTCCAGCTGCTTCCACAATCTTAAAAAGACAACCAAAAAAACCACTGCAGACACACAGACAACAACAGGACAAAACCAAACCCCACACTTCCCTTCTGCCTCTTATGCTGCCAACTGCTTTCTTACACACACACTTCCGTTCTGTACATGCTCTGGTAGAGTAAAGGGAATCTCATGAAAACCCATCTGACTTCTTTTAATTCAGTTCCCATTCATACCAGTTGCCTTGAGATGGAGATCTAGGAGAGATGAAACCTCAGGATACATTAAGAATATATGTATGTCAATGTAATTTACTAGTAGCTCACCAGAGAGACTAAAGCAACAGGAAAAGCACTTGTTAGTTTAACCCTTTTAAACAACACCTAGAAGAACCCATTCTTGTGACATGGAGATGAATAAAATCAGCTTTCTATTTCTGATTTACCATCTAAACTTGGAAGTTTAAAGATTAAGAACATTTTCTGGAGCAATGGTAGAACAGCTGTCTGGGAGAAAATATTTGCAAATGATTAGACCAACAAGGGCATAGTTTCTAAAATACATAAATAGCTCATACAACTCAATAACAACAACAAAAAACAAGCAACCCAGGACTTTCCTGGTGGTCCAGTGGTTAAGAGTCCGCCTTCCGGTTCAGGGGATGAGGGTTCGATCCCTGGCTGGGGAACCAAGATCCCACATGCAGCAGGGCAACTGAGTCAGCATGCCACAACTAGAGAGAAACCCAGTCACTGCAGCTAAGACTTAATGCAGCCCCCCAAAAAATTTTTTTTAAAGAAAATCAAAGAATGGGTAGAAGATCTAAAAAGACAGATTGCCAACAAGCACATGAAAAGGTATTCAACATCACTAATTGTTAGAAAAATGTGAATCAAAACTACGAGATATTGCCTCACACTGGTCATCACAAAGAACAAATCTGGAGCGGTTGTAGAGAAAATGGAACCCTCCTACATTGTTGGTGAGAATGCAAATTGATGCAGCAACTATGGAGAACAGTATAGAGATTCCCAAAAAAACTAAAAAGAGAGTTGCCATATGATCCAGCAATCCCACTCCTGGGCATATACCGAAAGAAAACTCTAATTTGAAAATATACCCTCCCCACAATGTTCACAGCAGCACTATATACAATAGCCAAGACATGGAAGCAACCTAAATGTCCATCAACAAGTAAATGGGTAGACAAGATGTGGTAAATATATACAATGAATACTTGACCATACTTGATGGACTTACAGATCTTCATACTAAGTGAAGTAAGACAGACAAAGACAAACATAATATCACTTATATGTGGAATCTAAAAATATGATACAAATGAACTTATTTACAAAACAGAAACAAATGCACAGACTCATTTTGTGGGGCAGAGGCACAATGATTACAGAGTGGCAAAATCAATACTAAAAATAAGGCTTGCTTTATAATCCATATTTAAAAAATCTCTTAATAGTCAAAAAGTCACAAAACTCTGTTTGAAGGGGGTTAAATTACTAGGCAAGAGACAAGACTATTTTCTGTGATGAATATAGTTTGCTTATGATGTAGTTAATAAAGCTAAAGAATGAATCTGCCTACTTCCCCTGCCCACTCCCCTCTTTTTCTTAATATAGGAAGCATTCTTTCTTTTAGTGTCAGAATCCTAGTCTAGAATATTCAATGGTTGCTGACTCTCTTTGGCTGTTAGCTCTGGCAGGTGGTTCTACTGATAAGTCTGTTTAAAAAAGTTCAAGTGCTTCTGTTTATAATTACAAGACAGCCTAATCCTAATTCTCAGAGAGGTCCCAGAAAGATCTGCCAGCAAGAGAGCACTTCTATTAAGAGCAAACAGGTATTCCTTGCCAATTACCAGCTTCAAACCATGAGGCTCAGGCTACTAATGCAATTTCTTAGTTCAGCGAAGGACAGATGTGGGCTTCCTGTCCCTCAGAGCTGACACAGTCATTCAGTCCTGCCAAGTACTGCTGTGATTCCAGGTCTCTTCTGTACAGGTTAACTAGTTATAATTCTTCCTCATGTTGCTCAACTGCTCTTTGCTCCAGTTGCTGCTTTGCTTTACATTCCAGGGACTACAGAAGGGTAATATAGCTGAAATTCTCAATAGCATTTAGATGAATCCATATAACAAAACTCAGGTAACAGCACTTCTGGAGAACAAGGGTATATACTCACTTTCCAATGGAAAAATTAGGATAATTTAGTTAAGGCAAGATGGAGCTACAGATGGTGTGACAAGAAAAGGTCAAAGAGGAATAAGTCAACCTCAGAAACCGGCAGCCATGAAGTCTTTAAAAATTACCTTGGAAGCATGAGATATCGTTCCTTTTGCCACATTTACTTCTGGGGAGAAATGAGCTAAGTGGAGGTAGTATATTAGTTTTCTATCATGGCTGCGACAAGTTACTGCACATTTAACAGATTAAACAATGCAAATTTATTACAGTTCTGTGGAAGTCAATACAGGTCTCATTGGGCTAAAATCAAGGTATCATCAGGGCTGCATTCCTTTCTGGAGGTTCGAGGGAAGAATCTGCTTCCTTGCTCTTTCTAGCTTCTAGAAGCTGCCTATTTTCCTGGGTTTATGGCCTGCTTCCTCCATTTTCAAAGGCAAAAATGTTACAGCTCTCTGTGCCTTTCATCTGAAGGTAGTCACTCTCTGTCTCTTCCATTTTTAAAGAGTCCTTATTGTTGCACTGGGTTTACTCAGATAATCCAGGATAATTTCCCTTAATGTCAGCCAAGGCTTCCCCGGTGGCGCAGCAGTGAAGAATTCACCTGCAGTGCAGGAGACTTGGGTTCGATCCCTGGGTTGGGAAGATCCCCTAGAGGGCATGGCAATCCACTCCAGTATTCTTGCCTGGAGAATCCCATGGACATAGGAATCTGGCAGGCTATAGTCCATAGAGTCACAAAGAGTCAGACATGACTGAAGTGACCAAGCACAAGATAAGCTTATTAGCAACCTTAATTACTTGGTAATATAAAACATTCACAGGTTCTGAGATTAGGAGTAGACAAGTTAGGGAGGAGGCAGTTATGATTCCTACCACAAGCAGCAACTCCTCTCCACACCACGTTTCAAAAATGGCACAGATACACTAAAAGTGCCTGTACTTAGGAGAATAGACGTTTAGTATCCACTGGATTTGATGCATCCTATTCTACAAACTGGGTGAATATCCGACTAACCCAAATGATTTCACGGTATTACCCCCTCTCATAATTTTTTTTTCCTCTTATAATTTAAGGAACTAAAGTAGGGATTCTTATCTGGGGTCCCTGAGTCACAGAATTCAGGAGGGGGTCTATGAATTAAAATGGGAATAAAATTACAATTTACTTTTCATTAACCTCTAACTGAAATTCAGCATTTTCTTCAATTGTAAAGATAGGCAACAAATTATGAGTAGTAGCAGTACCTGAGCATAACTAATAGAAATTAGATATTTTTATATGATCTTATAGTTATAGACTTCAAAATTTCATTTAAAAATCATGGTTATTAGACCTATCC